TACTCTGCAAAGGTGATCTAGAAGAGTCCTTATTCAAACGTGTCTTTGCGCAGGGAGTATATTAAGGAAAAAAAAAAATCTATACCTGTACTGGATATCTTCAGGATGTCCAAACAATGGAACGCTCAAACATTTACCTTATTGGACGATGTGTAGACATTCCTTATCGGTCATGGACCCAATATAGACATGATCTGTATGCCCATCAAGCGTCTGTTTAGTGAGAGGGGAGAGTGTACTTTTAGAAAACTCAGAGATATAACATCTGTACAGAAAAGTCTACCTGTAACATGGCAGGTAGAGACATTTCTTTAATGGTGACAGTAGAACTGTACTGAATTTGACAAATTTTACTTCTCATTATATATAAACTAAGGGTTCGAATAGCAATTCCAAGCAGGCAGATTAGGTTTAAAAATGTCCAATCACTGAAGTAGTTATAATGCAGACAACACATCTGTTGGCATTGAAGAGATGATACAAAGAGGCATGTTTCAATCCAGAGAACTCATCTACTTTACATCTGCTTTCAGTTGGCATGCTGCTTGAGGGCTGACTGAAGCTTCACATTTAAGCAAATATGCAGTATACTGATGACAATCTACTGACGTGATTAAGTTTTACCTGTAGATATTCTACATGCACTTTGATTTTTAAGTTTCTGTTTTCTGTTTGTCTTTTGTTGAGTTTCACGCACACCAAATAGTTTTATGGAGGATATGGAGAAAATTAGATCCATGACGAGGAATGTAAAATTGCACTATTAAGTTGATACTACCATGCCTCTAACTGATGCAAGGCACTTATTTCAACGGAGCCATGGAAGTGAAAAGCCTAAAGGCTCAACAGAGCGGAGTGTGAACGCCATGAAGTTCACTTTGTGAAAAGCTGGTTATTTCTGTGGCTCTGTGGTTACTTGATACAGCTTGAGTTAAACAAAGTAATATGTGAGGACACGGTTTGCACATTGGCTGTCTGAAGTGGTGTTTGCTGCTTTAAAAGATGTGCAGTTTATATTGTTCCCAGTCATTTTTGCTCTTCTTTGCCAACAATGATCAACGGGCTGGCTACCATTAATGAGTTGGCATGGAAGAACTGAACCATTTTGACTGGTGGCCAGAATTTCAGTAATAAATCTGCATGAAACTAAATGACTACATTTTCCTGTGAAGTTTCCTGGTTAATATGTTTTGGAAATTCGCTGTATTTCTCCATCAAGTCCTGTAACTGTAGCACCGAAGACCATTTTGTTTTCCTTGTTGTATGCTGCATTTAATTTTATATGGCACATAAAAGAAGACAGGCAGACATTTCTTTAAACCGTGCAGCAATAACATTTTGAGTCTTTAATATAAGTACTACTGTATTGACATTATCATCATTAGTCTATTATGCTGTACTTATTAAAATATTAAACAAAATGTAGTTCAATTTGATTCCTGTGTCCTGTGCTTTTGTTTACACTACATATTCTCTGCAGTGTTGATGAGAATATATCTATGATGTGATGAAAAATTTTTTTTTATTCCACAATTAGAAACTTACAGAGCTCCTCTCTTTTTTCTCAAATGGACCCCCTAAACCATCATACAGAGGGCAAGACATTTGACAATCTACCATTTGAGAGGCTTTGCTGCAGCATTAGTGTGTGACTGCAAGGTCTCGCATCACAACATTAGCTTTTGGTCTCTGGAATTGACTCAATCCTCACTCACTGGCTTAACAGCTGAAGGGATATGCATCGCTGCAATGGTGGATGTTATCCATGAAAGGCTAACTGTAATCCTGCAGTACTCTACTTACCTAAAGTGCATTCTCCCAATAAGTCTTTAGAGAGAATTGTGTTTTTACTCTGATGGTGTAGGGAAGCATTTCACTGAATTGATGTGAAATTAGAATGAGTTTCTTTTTTTTTTTTTTTTTTACTCTAATGGTATAAAAAGCTTATTTTCAAGAATTATTGGGGAATAGGATTGCTCTCTGTTCAAATGCCATCATATAAAATTCTAATCATGAGACAAATTCCCCTTTCCTCTTTCCCAGGACCAGGTACTGACTGCTGTCTTCCTTAAATCAGTTGATATAGTAAGACGTTTTCTGCCTTCTTTAAAATACAGTATTAGCAATTTTCTAACTGTTCATGATTCCCCCACAGGAGTTTACAATAATCTTCTCTTTCCTTAGACTAAAATCTTGTTTTGTAACAATATTTTGAGGCTTGTGGCAAAGAGAGTAAAAAAAATTCAGGTTGAACAAACTATGGTGCTTTAAACTGAGCACAGGAATCCGTCCAACATAGACTGAATTAAGTCTGATGTAGTGCAACCATCAGCAACAGGAGAATGATTAATACAGCTGAAATAGTCAGGAATCTAGTGCAAGAGTCTACAAAGCTAAGCACTTCCTTACGACTTAAGAAAAACAGGTTGAACATCATCAGGAAAATTCCAACTACCTGTGCATCTAAATATATGTACTTAACGGATGCCCTGAAAAGCAAGTGAGAACAAAATCTGGATTAGAAAAGTTCTAATTTTTCTTTCTTATTCCTGGCCTAAAAAAACAAGTAAATTTTTTGTGTGTGTGTTAGTGGAAGAAAAAAAAAAAATGATATAAACATATACAGTGGTCCGTCATTTATTGTGGGGGTTCAGTTCTGAAAAAGCCCTGCAATAAACAAAATAGCGGATTTAATTTTTATCTATTCAAATACATGTTAAGGCATTAATTAAAAACTGCACTTAGATAGTCAACTTTTATCTGACTGTATGATCTGGTTGAATTGTCTCTGCGGAGAGCCTTGAGATGACATGTGTTGTGAATTGGCGCTTTAGAATAAAATAAAAGTAACTGAATTGAATGTGGTTTTACTTCAGCGCCTCTAGTTTCTAGAGTCTAGTGGCAAAAATGTATTTAAAAAACTTATTAGCCTTTGATTTTTTTTTCTCACTGACCTTTCAGAGCATCTGTATTAGCTACTCAGTAATTAATAAACAGAATATCGTGTTAAAATGTTGTGTTAAAATTTTCTTATTTTATTAGTTTTTTTTTTTATGAGGCATCAGAAAGTCTAAAATCCTTTGGAGTTAACTGTTGTATGGGTTAATCCAGATTTTTACATTTTCTTTATAAGCTTACTTGACAGGCATTATGGTGCAATACAGTTATTACTGGTCTGTCTTTGTCATCCCAATCTGCCAGGCTGCAAATAGTCATGTGACATAACACACAGGGGTTGTAGGTAGATGGAATGTGTGCTCTAATATTATCTCACAGGAGCTGAAATAGTACTGTCCTTGGACCAGCAATGCCCCTGTGCCCTTGCAGCACTCTCAGAGAAGATTCCAGCATTCATTAGGAGGCCATTTCCCCTATGGATGATTAGCTGGGTCATTGTGCATGGATACAGCTTATCAGGAGAGGTGTTGAGAGAAGAAAAACAGTAGACAATGCTTAGGAGAAAAAACAAAAGCCTGTGCTCAGTCTCTGACTGAATAGGTGCTTAAAAAAGAAAGGATTTCTGGATTCTAACCAAACTTGAACCCTCACATGAACTTTTAACTACTCCAATAATGCTTTAAATGGACTTGAAAACTGCATTAAAATACTAAAATTGTATTGTGGCTGGCTGCTCAGTGTCACAGTGGGTAGCACTGCTGCCTTGCAGGAAGAAGGTTCTGGGTTCGATTTCCGGCCCAGGGTCTTTCTGCATGGAGTTTGCATGTTCTCCCTGATCATGCATGGTTACCTCCGGGTACTCCGGCTTCCTCCCACAGTCCAAAAACATGACTGTTAGGTTAATTGGCTTCTCTACAGGTGTAAGTGTGTGTGTGAATGGTTGTTTGACTCTGTGTTGCCCTGCGATGGACTGGCGACCTGTCCAGGGTGTACCCCACCTCTCGCCCATTGACTGCTGGTGATGGGCACCAGAGCCCCTTGCGACCCACTCGGGATAAGCGTGCTAGAAAATGTATTGTGGCCCCTGGCCTCTTAAGGCTGTGCAGGCTTGTTTTTGTTATGCAGGTTCAGTTGTGACAGAATACCTTCCTTGTTGGCTGCCTGAAGGCTGCAGAGGAGCAGTGACCTCATTGGACCAGCAGAGGATTGTCAAGCCAATCAGACGTTGATGAGGCCCACCTACACCATATAAAATGTTTCTGAAAAGCATTTAACTGGGGGACAGCGAGAAGGAAGAGGTTTTGTTAAGCTGTTCCCCCACTTTTGGTGTTTACTGCTTTGGGCAATTTTAACTATTTGCTCTTTCTTGTTCTGTTGTTTGAATCTGCTTTAGGTGGACTTTGTACAAGCCAGAAGCTTGTGTTTGGAAAGCTTGGTGCTCCCTTTTGTCTTCTTTTGGGTTTTTTTGAGTTTACTCTAGTCTAAAGTTTAGACTGACTTGTTTGGACATTTTGTAATTTAATTTGCACTTAACCATTCTTGAATTTGTTGCCCCTTTTCTTCTGTTTTACTTGGGTTAAGTTGTATTGTATTTTTGTTTTGTGAAGCCATCATTTGTAGTAGATAATTTTACATTCCACTCATTTTCTTTGGACACATTTTTATGTTACTGCCTCTGAACCCATTTACCTTGTCGGTGTAACAAGTACTTTTGAATCACACCAGAGAAAAAACAATATCAGAAAGTGAAAACATTTATTTGACATCAACTTTTTATTTTAATGTAGATAAGTTACCTTTACAAATATGCCCTAAAAAAAATTGCATTTTAGGCTACTCTACGTAATTAGCAATAACATGTAACCTGTCTTCTAAAATTTTTGGGTGAATGAAGATTTTTCTTTACAATAACCTGATAAGTCTCATTCGGCTGGTGAAAAGTGGTCCATTTAAAGTGGGAGACTTTTTAATTTTGAAACACTGCATTTTTACCAGTTGCTTTTCAGAAAGTAGGTCTATCACCCCTTGCCGCTAATTTGGCTATATAATATTTTTAAGTTTGGTCTGTAGTATACGAGAAAAGTCAGACAAAAAAGCAAAAACTCAGAAGTCATTTTTATTACATTCATGTTTTTTTCAACAATAGGACTCTACTGTTATATTATTCACAGCCAGCAATCACAATGGTAAACATGAGGTAGATCAATCAGGCACCAAGGCTACCACCGAGCTGCAAAAGACATCGAGACACATTTCAGTGAAGATTGTGAGAGCAAGTTGCATATTAAGTATTAAATTATTAAAAAAGAAACCAATTGAATAGACCAAGTCTTATGGAATAATTATGAGGGGGAGGGAGTTGTATATTAACAAGTAACTTGAATAGTGCAAGTTCACATCTCCGACCCCTTAATGACATTCAATAGATCTGAAATAACATCCATTTGGGTTCCTGTGCAAAGCCTTCATAGATGTTCTTGAGGTGGGAAGTCCCCCCACCTCAGCATGCAATCAAATATCTAACTTTACCATGATTATCAGTCCAAAATACTTATCAAATAAATAAAAAACTCCCCAATAGAACTACATTTCATTTATCAATGAAACTTCAACACGCGGACAAAAAGGGATACAAACATATTTTCATAGATCTAGGTAGATTTCTTCTTGCCTTTTTGAAGCATAAAATGCAGAAAGACGCAACCAAAACTATACTGAGTAACACAAGGCTAAAACATAACATCAACCGTCAGTGGGGAAGGGGATGGCATAATATATTAGTAATGTAAACAAAGATTTCAACAGTACAGAAGAATAAATTCAAATTATTCCTTCTAATTTTACTCAAACATTTCTTTGTCGTGTCATTTTTTTTCTTCATTCTGATTGGTTGTTATGACAGTATTTGTGTCTGTGTCAAACATAATTAAGGCATTTTCTTTTAACAACCCTGTGGAAAATGAGAAAAAAAAAATAAAAAATACAAAACACTTTTCAAGTATGCCTTTTCACCTGTGTGTCATCTTACTTTAATTACCCTTCCTATCAATTGTGTGGGAAAACAGTTTAAGCTACACAAATAGCAAACGTACGAGCTCCCTCAGAACACAACAGGATCCAAAGTCCTAGGCACAGTCAGCAGCATGACAAATGGCAGTGATGAAGCTTGATTATGACATTTTATCTGTCTGACTGTTCAGGATTTTAGTCAGCAAATGTTCATAGTTTATTCTAAAACATGGGCTGCTCTTTCTGATTGGCATTACCACATTGGCAGGGGTTAAAAAAAACATCTGGATTTTAAATAACGGATGGAATCTACATTCTTTCAACATCACAGCTTGTAAACTTCCTTAGCTGTGATAGAAATTCAGTCATGTAGAAAGCAAAATCCTCTCTCTGCTTCTTCTTTGATTGTTGATGCCATGTTCATGCTTTAGAGGCAAAGTAGAGAAATTACATCTGATAAATCAATAGTCCCCGACTCTTTAATTCCCAGTAGAGGAAGAGAATCAGCTACATCTGAAGATGGAAACTGCTTGTTAGATAACCTTAGTGGTTATATTATTACGCTGTAGAGCACTGATGAGCTTCTTGGAGTTTCAGAGGCTGAGCTGGAAAGCAAATGGAGAAGGCAAGGTGCAGCTGAGTCTTTGGTGCCAACATAAGTTAATGCACAGGGAGAAGAAAACGTAACGCCTTAAATCCCTTAGATCTCCCTCAATTTGAAACCCTGAGTTAAAAAGAAAATGTATGTCCCGATGTGGACATACTGGATTCAAAGTTCATGGATCCTGCAACAGTCAAGTGTTGGATCCATTTTGGCCAAAAACAAACAAAGGTTCAATAGAGCCTTTTTTTTTTTTTCCCCCGGCAACAGTTTTCCTTTTGGTAAAAACAAGCTCAACTGGAGACGAGTCAACGATCAAGAATCAAACAAACTGTTGTTAAGGAGATCTAACACCACTCCTACATGGGACTGGGTTATCCCAGCTGCAAAACTACTGAACACCCATGGGTTCAAACATGGCGGCCAGTCAGGAAGTAGAGGGGCCGATCCTCACTGCAGTTGGCCGTCTGGAACTCGTCCCGCAAACGGAACTGCCACTCGTCCTCCAGCTCCAGCCGGACGATGGTCTGACGCAGAGAGCTCCGGTCCTGACAGATCACACAGAGGGTGGCACCTGTAGGCAGAATCCAGGCTATTAATGCTCCGTGGAAAAAAAACTAAAAAACTCATGCTGTTGAACTTTCTCACAGCCTTCTATGTTACCACCACATACTTCAATGTATTTTTAAAGGAGAACAAAAAGCAACAGGCTGGCAGATCTGACAGGTGGCACATGAGAGGAGGAGCTGCAGAGGCCCATAGCTCAGGTGGAAGGATTTGACAACTTAAATATATTTAATTTATTATGAAGGGGTGGACTGAAAAAGGGTAAATGCTGAAAGACAACATAAGCCAAATTTCTGTTTGTAGTTTATTATACTATATTTTATCACAAGCTGCTGAAATGTTGAGGATGAGCAAACCCAGAACACTTATTATTATGTTATTTGTATGGTGGTGGCAGAACCATGGTGAGGGAAGGCTCTTATTTTACAGGGATATGAAAGCTGGTTGGAATCAATAAAGGGATGGATGAAGGACCTGCAACTGCGGTGCACATCATGAAGGTAGGTTTTCATAGGAAAAAAAAAATTGTCCTAGTCTTTCAAATAAATCCCATTTTAAATCGAATGAAGGACGTGGCTGTAATGTGACACATAGGGTCACAGGTAGAGCTTCTGTCACCTTTCAGAAAGCGGAACTTCTTGAGGAGTCCGGAGACGACAAAGGAGTCACAGAGGTAGAGCAGCAGGCCGCTGAACACCAGACCCTGATGGTTGAGGTTGGTGGAGTGTGGGCGAGAGTTTATGTAGCACACAGAAATCTGTCACAAACATGAAGGGCAATGCATTAGTACTGCAAGGGCAATGTAAGTGGGTTTGATGAGAACAAATAAATCAGCATCTTGTGTGGAATAGACAAAAAAAAAATCTTTACGTAAGTAGTTTGTGCTGAGGTTTTGATGAGTCATATGTTATATAAAGTAAAAGCCTTGTTAGCATTCATTGCCTGCACATGCACTTATTAGCAGGTCAGAATGTTCTTTGCCATACAGACAGGCATTCAGTGTGGCCCAGGAATATTTAACAGGACAAAATCTTCAAACTTGAAAATAAATAAGTACAGTAGGTATGAACAGGATCTCTGAGGAGAATTACCTCTGGACTGAGGTTGAGGTAACTATCGATGGACAGAACTGGGTTATTTCTGTTCTGTACGGCCTTAGGAAATAATCTGTGGCTGCAGCTCTGCAGGAAGCTTTCCAGCAGGAACTGGGCCGGGGCGTCCAACAGGGTCTGCTCGCTGTCTGGGGCACAAACATACTGAGACGGGCTGATTGAAGCCTTGTTTTCGATTTCCTGAGGAGGAACACATGAAGGTATGGTAGAGTTAGGTTGTGTTTATTAGAGGAAGTAGGTCATTTTTAACCACTCTGAAGGTCAAAGGGGTTATAAAAAAAAAAAAAGCAAGACTTACCACCAGCTTTGGTTTAACAACAAAATCTTTGTTCCCACCAACTGGAATGTGTTTCTTCATCAGGGAGAAGTTGTTGAAGCAGCACATCAGCAAGCCGCTGCTGTTCACCCTCAGATTAAAGTCCACCTCTTCGCAGCCATACCTGCTCACAACAGCAGCGACCAACGATCACAAACACAGCACTGGTTCCAAACAGCATGGCGGACATGAACCTACCGATTAAGGTCATACTGAACGTTCTGTGTCAGGTCCACGTTCAGGAGGACAAAGTCATGGAGGTGACAGCGACTGAAGGGGTTACGGGGAGGCCTGCGAGCCAGGGTGCTGCTCCACTTACGGATGCCGCACATGGCATACAGGGAGATCTTGGGTGTGTTCTCCATGTGCTGCAGCACTGCTTTCAGAGACACGTTGGTGAGGGTTGAGCTTCCGTCAGATGATTCACTGAGAAAGGGCAAAAAAGGGGGTTCAGACTGTACTACTTTAACATGTCTCTAATTTAGCTATGAATAGAACTCTGAAACTTTTAACAACACACAGCCTCACACAATGTAAATAAGGAAACATGTAAATCATTGAGCTATTTGGCTAAAATGGAAATGAGGTTGAGAAAAGCTATTATCGCAGGATAGTGCATGATGTCATGGATTTGAATAGTTTTGTTTGTTTTTTCACGCCATTTGTGGGTTGAGGATAGTATATTATTAAACACCATTCTAAGAAGCTTTAGCAGGTTTTTTATAGAACATTTGAATTAAATTTTCTCAACAGATAGAGTTTAAGATGTATATTTTAGATGTATATTTAAAGGAATAGTACACCCAAAACATGATTAGCCTTCATTTTCTACTCACCCCCATGCTGAACAAAACTCTGGAGTACTTTTTTGATATCTCAAATGCATCTGGAGATCTGGGAGGCTTCTTGCTGTCTGCTGACATTCAAATAATGGAGGTCTATGGTGCCCGAGACAGAAAGGTCCATAAAAGTCCATAAAAACGTGTCAATATTCCTCCATACTGCTCGTCCAATGTATTCCAAGTGTCCTGAGTGGGTAGCGTCCATAATTTACTCGAAACGAAGTCATTTAGAATGTTTTTAGAGCATAAACAGTAGTGTATAGGATTTCCTAATAGCGCCCCCATGCGCGCTCACGACGCTACGGAAGCCGGCAGACCAAACCAGCGCATTCAGCTCGGCAAAGAACTCATGCTCTTCCTCAACACTGAAGTCCTCAGACATTTTTCTTTCGTTGTTTCTTTCTTTGCACAGGTAAACAGCACATTTCTTCTTCTACGCTTGCATCATCGGCAGAGCAGACGCTGAATGCGCACTTCCTTCCGGTTTGGTCTGCCGGCTTCCGTAGAATCGTGAGCGCGCATGGGGGCGCTATTAGGAAATCCTATACACTACTGTTTAGGCTCTAAAACGTTCTAAATGACTTCGTTTCGAGTAAATTCTGGATGCTACCCACTCAGGACACTTGGATTACATTGGACGAGCAGTATGGAGGAATATTGACACGTTTTTGTGGACTTTTGTGGACCTTTCTGTCTCGGGCGCCATAGACCTCCATTATTTGAATGTCAGCAGACAGCAAGAAGCCTCCCAGATCTCCAGATGCATTTGAGATATCAAAAAAGTACTCCAGAGTTTTGTTCAGCATGGGGGTGAGTAGAAAATGAAGGCTAATCATGTTTTGGGTGTACTATTCCTTTAAGGTCATCAGCTTGGAAACTGTACATTTATCTTTGATATTATATAAAATATAAGAAAATTCCGGGTGTTCTTTTTAAGAAATGTTTATGTTTTCTCCTTTTTTAACCTCTTAAAGCCTAAACCTTGGAATGTCTGACAGAAAAAAAAACACTTTGAATCATTTTGAATAATCTTAAATACATGTTATTAGTTTCATTAATGATACATTACAAATTTCTACACAATTTCTGTTTACTACATGTGACTGACAATATAAATCAGTTTTAAAAACAAAAATATCATCATGTTGATATAGAGGCCTTAAAGAAACTCGATTTACTTAGTTTTAAACTGTTAAAAACTAAAAGTAAAATATAAACAAAAGTAAAAAACTATGTATATTTAAAGGTCATGCAATATATGTATCTCTAAAAAACTTTAATTTAGCTTGGCTCAGGGTAAAACGACTCTTTGGATTTTAAATATTGCAGACTTTCTGACTAGTAATGATTCTCTTCACTTTTTTTCTCTAAGCAAGGTTATTTCTGCCTCACTGTTACCTTCCATCTGCCGGCTGGTGGCTGTTCCACAGCACGCAGGAGTCGTCCATCATGACAATGAAAGGCCATACGTCTTGTCTCTTGATGCCTTGCTCCTCCAGGCGGTTTCTCTCCAGCTCTAGGTTATGGTACGACAGCTCTTTGATCATGAAGCGAGCAGCACCTTAAAAAGACAGGAGCATATTGGTCAGCCTGATTTATACTTCTTTAAAAGTTCAACTTCCAAAGGGTCATTAAACCATAGCAAATTTCTGATGGAGTAAATGGAAATACCCATTCTGCACAGTATAGCTAGGAATTACACTTAAAATGTAAACCATGGCAGTTTGATAAAAAAAAAAAAAAATCTGCTTTTATGATACAGAACACAGTAAATGTGGAGTGTGGATAAAGAACGGTGTTTGAATGAATACTGGCAGGAAGCCATGTCAGTTTAAGGGGTCAAGGTGACACAGCTGTCATCTGTCAGAGTGCAGCTTAGCTTTGATTGGCTGCAATTTAAATCACCTTATTATGCTGTGTATGTTATCAGAAAGGATGGCTTCCTCAGATTGGCTAAAAGAAGCTTTTACCTTTCACCTTCTACAAACCTGCTCTGAGTCACAAGTGTAATCAGCAATGACCCTGTCGGCTCAAACGTAGCAGTTATTATCAGTGTGATGGGCAGTAAACAGAAGAATTAGGAAACCCTCTAGCAAACATAAATATAAATATTTCCAGACGTGAAGATTATTTATACATAAATAACTCACAGTTATCTAAAAGACAGACCGAAGGAAAAATGTGTTCGATCTGAGTGTTTTTTCTTGTAGATATTACGTGAAATGATTTAAAATCAGGATTTCATACTAGATTTATCTAAAATAGTATGACAAAGTTACTTTCAAATTGAATATATTTTTTTTCTTCTCTTTTTCTTTTATTTAAGTTCACTGTTTTCTGTATTTGTGAGAATCAACAGCATTGAAAAATACATAGATGAGCATCTACATCTGGACAACTGTAGAATTATACAGCATGTTATACATTTATTGGGGAGTTCGGTGCTTCCCTTTTAATTAAAAAGAAATTTTTCCTGCCCCCCACACCACTACCAATCTTTAAAACAAAGAACATTAAATTGCACTAAAACATATTGCAATAAAATAAACTACAGTCCCTTTTAAATAACAGAACCACAAGTTCTACCATGCCCCCTGCAATTACACTGAATGCATCCCGAGTGGGTGCCCCCCCACACTTTAGGTGCCACTAGGTTACAATATATTAAACGCCTTCAAATAGAATGTGTCTCTTGCAGCAGTAGCTCATATTCACCATATCAGAAGAATTCAAACTTAATGTCAATTAATGATCAAACTAAATTAATTAAGTGACTCTTATTGGGAGTGCTAATGGATACAAACAAAAGACTATGTGCAAAAGTAATCACCCTTCATGATGGATTGACATTGGCATAAATCTGACTTAAAACCATAAATCCTGCTCTACCAGATATTGTTTTCACTGCTTGAAAATTGTGATTCATGTCTAAAACCCTCCAAAATTAAAGAATAAAAGTCGTTCTATAAAGCAAATAAATCAGCCCTCTCTTTAGGCCAGTTTAGGCGTCACATTGAGCTGCGGAAAGTGAGTGCACTGCTCCATTCAAGAATAATGAGATGCATACATTTACACTAGCAACTACTTTAAGAACACAGGAAAGGCAGTAAAAGACCAGAAAAACAAACTTAAATTGTACACATTTATAAAAGTTTTATAAAAGTTTTACAGTTTTCTATCCCTTACAAAGAGGTCAAAACGTGGTTTCTTCCTCGTTTTACTCTCAGCCTAAAGCTTTGCAAGAAACATAAAAAGCTGATAAGTAAATTTGTTAAGGAACACGGCCATTTTTGGCAGATGAAGCAGTGTTTCACATGCTGGCCTTGTTTTTATATTCAGCAGCAAACATTTCTGTTGGATTAAAGTTTGAGTTAACTGGACCTGCTGAGCCATTACGATGCTTACCAACTCCAGCGTTGTTGAACGTCGCCGGCAGGACGAGCAGGATGTGGTTGGGCCAGTACTTCCTGTAGTGGGGCATTTCAAACTGCTTAACTACAAGGATGTGCAGATGAGCGGCGCCCTCCATGGCGTGGAAAAGGTTCAGCAGGCCGTGCTCTTGGCGTCCTGTGGTTGGGGTGAAGATTGGACTCTTCAAAAGCTCAGGGTCCTGTAAAGAAAGACAAAGTATGAACGTTTGTTTATAGTATCATAACTCAACCTAATACTATATGTTGATGACATCTGCGTGAACTTATTTTATCCATCTTTGAGTGAAAGGGATTATTTCTCTAACCTTGGTGGAGACCAGAGGCAGTCGTAAACTCTCCAGATGACTGCCCTGATGGCTGAATACAAAGTGCTGCTCCTTGGCTTTAGGAATGAAAAACTGGAGCTGGACTTCCTCTCCCAGCATGGACGAGCAGAAGGTGAAAGCATGTAAGGAGCACTCCGACAACTGTAACAACAGAATTCATTCCATTTGAGAGATGATGTTAGAGGATCTAAGTAATAAAAATCAGGGGCAGGAGGGGAGCTTCTGTTGATGTCTGAAGGTGTGATCTGTAGCTCACCTGTGTAGTAGGAACCGCCTCGCAGTACTGATGACACTGCTCACAATGGTGAAAGGCATTATGGGCAGCAAACCTACTCAGGCGTATTGACTTTGTCGCTCTCTTGCCTTGTGTTTGGTTCTCTCCTTCTTTCTTGAGCTCTGCAAACAAACAATAAGACTCGTCTTTATAATGCAGAAGTTCTCCTTAGGAGGTTAAAATCTTTAACTCATTTAGTGTACATTTCTGACCTTTAAAGAACTTTGGCATCTTGTCAGAATAAACAGGGCTGGCCTTCCTGAATTTAGGATCCCTGGGATTGGGGTCAAAGGGCAGCTTTCGAATGTCTTCGATGTCGGGCCAATGTGTGCTTGCTTGGGTTGTGACATCTGTAGTTTCTGCCATTTTGGAAGAGGAAGAAACATTTCTCAGCACTACAATGACACAGCAGGAACCATGTTTTTTTTATTCCATTTACTTTCAGTTACATTATTTGAAATATGAAAATCAAATATGTTTTTATTTTTACACATCCTATTTTTAGCACATGAAGAAAATAAAAAAACATGTTTAATCCTAGCTTCACAGGAATGCTGCTGATAGCAATATCAAACTTTACTCAACAATAATGTGTCCCCTACACTGAGCGTGCTGTTGGCAATTACTTCAATAATACTACACTGAAAAGTTATTAGAAGATTTAAGTAGGATACATGTGAGTCCTACCATCCTCCTCATCTTCTTCGTCATCATAGACGTCTACCTCCAGCAGCCTAATGAGCATACGGAACAGGATGCGTAGAAACTGCAGGTAAGCACCAGTTTTTCCAACCTGGCAGGGGACAAGAGAAGAATGAAATGATTAATACACATCCAGGTGAATGAATGAATCAATCTATCCATCCAAATCTATCTATCTATGTGATTGTATGCCCTCTGGACTCAGTGCGGGAAGTGGGAAACTAAAGGATCTAAATGAACATATCTGTTGGATAAGGTCTCTAACCCCATGCATGAAGCTGTTGCAGAACTGATGAGCTCCTTCAGTGACAGACTGCTGCACCCTAAATGCACCAGGGAGCGTTATCACAGATCCCTCCTCCCAGCAGCTGTAAGACCTTATAACCGTAACTGTTCCCAACAACCTCCAAAAAATTGTTACATTCAGGTTGATTTTGCACGGTTTCTACTTTAGTAAACTAACATGCTGCTGTCATTTTGCACATCTCTGATGTAGCTGCTATTTTTCAAATATCCTATACTGTAAAAATGTCCATAGCAGTATATTGGTTATTTATTCTCCAGGTGCACAATTGTATATTGTTAAAACACTTTAGTATAGTATTTTTAACTCTTCACTATTATGTTATTCTTATACACTTTTGTAAGGTCCACATTTGATTGACTATTTTTTCTAGAATCTTTTGTTGCTGTAAAAACCAGAATTTCCCCATTGTAGGATAATAAATGAATTTTCTAATCCATCCATCCATCCATCCATCCATCCATCCATCCATCCATCCATCCATCCATCCATCCATCCATCCATCCATCCATCCATCCATCGATTCATAATGAATGAATGATAATGAAATCTGTTAATAAGGCCCAGTCCAAATTCAAAGTAAGTGAACATTCTCCACCTAAATGTTAATTTGTCCAGAAAAAATGTTTTTTCCTTTTGTAAAGAAAGATGAGTGTAATCATTTTACTTGTGGGGGTCCGCTGAGGAGCAGGCGCCTTGGATGGGGCACAGGTGGTGCTTCATAATCAGCATGATGCTGCCTGGCAACAGTCCACTGCCGGTAGTACAGGCTCTGCTCTGCCCCCTGCAGGTTGTGTGTGATGGGGGGCCTCAGTGGACTGCTCCAGGACACGTCTGCATGTGGCAGCAGAGAGAAGGAGCTCAGATGACTCCCAGATTCCCCTGACAGGAGGTTGTAAGCTGCCCGTGATAGGATGACAGTTCGCGGTGACACCCTGGAGGGCTTGGAGGTTCGTCCTGACTGCGTGGACTGGCTGGGCCTCTGTGTGGAAGAGGAGGATGGGGAGGGGGAGGAAGATGAGGAGCTGGAGTAATGAGAGGGAGGTGCGTTGGGGACTTTGAGTGAGTTGGAGGAGAGCTGGCTTCCCAGAGAGTCGCACTCCTGCTTGAAACCGTCGGTTAGGGTGGCCATGTCTGAGGTGAGGAGGCCTTCGGGTTGGGAGGTGGATGTGGAGGCCTTCTGGAAGGAGTCGGCCAAGTCAGATGAACTGACACCATTCTCAACCAGGGAGCCTGATTAAAACATTAAGAGAAAATATTTGAGGCAGAATACAGAGAGTTACACTTTAAAATGTCTGTTAGTTTTCAAACTGAGAGAAAACTAGAGTAAAAAAAATAAGAACGTGTCTGTTTTATCCAAATTAACACCAAACTCCCTCAAAAGTGTAATCTTTAAAAGGAAAAATAATAAAATTCAAACCCAATTGTTCATGATCCTTGCATGGAGCTCAGCCTGATTCTCTATATGTTTTTATCTTTAACATGACTTTTTAGCTTATCTCAGAGACCCACCAGAGGCTCTGGTTGCAGCGCTGCCGTTGCTCTGAGGTCTTTCCAGCTCATCCCCGTCATTCAGACTGATATTCGTCTTCTCTCCATCAGATTCCCGAGGAGCCATAGAGGTCCTAGAATCCTGGCCCACATCCATCGAGACATAGGTGCAGGCCAGACCCACCTCCTGCTCCAGGGCGGTGCGCGTCAGGTAGCTGGAGTCTATCAGACGCAGGTCTGTGTACTTCAGAGACCTTGAGGATCAAAAACTTGCAGATTAAAGTTGAGAAGGATTTCTAATATTCGGTTTATTTATTTTTGCTTAAGTTTTTACCAGAATTTTATTCTGAAAAATAATACAAAGCTTAAAAAAGGACCTAAATTATAAAAATAATGATTAGGAAACTCCAAAATGAAATCAGTTGGAGTAACTGATAGAAACTGGATGAAAATCAACTGCCTGCTGGATGTTTTGTTGTGATTACCGGGGGAAGGTCTCTCCAAGAGGGTCTTTCCCTGTGAGGATGACTATGCAGGGTAGCCCCTCTAGATCCTCATATGTGTGTGGCACCCATTCTTCATTTTCACAGCCTCTCCACGCCTGCAGCAGAAAAAATGTTTTTTTTTTGCACAGTGGTTAAATAAAACAGTTAATCCTGATTAGGTTCTTTATATGTCAGATTTTGAATGAGGTTCAATAATACAGCTTCATCAGGTACATATTTTTTAGCAGATGGTGATTATTCATGTTTATTAACTTTAAGGAGTAATTGGATTTTTGAAAGCTTTTTTTTTCTAACTGAGGGCTTATTTTAAAGGTTTTTATGAACTTACATTTGATCAAACTACCGCCAGAATCAAACTTGAAGTTATTCTCACCCTCAGGATGTTGATGAAGTTTCTGGAAAGGCTGAGTTCAGATGCTGGACTTCCCAGCAGTACAGCGAAGCACAGCTGCAACCCCAGCTTGTCCCTCACATCCTCCAGTCTCTCTCGGGCCAACATCGCAAGCTGCAGCGAGGGGACGCGTACCAGCAGCATGTGGCCGCGGCCCTGGGAGCCCTCTCGACTCGGAGCGTTTATTAGGTCCTCAACCATCGCAAGGGTCTCGGGTGTGATGTGATCCCTTAGGGACGGGGAAGAGGTCAGGGCCATCATGGCCTCGGTGTACTGCTGGATCAGCAGATAGCTGCGGATCACCATGCTGTGCAGGTGGGGATGTCTGAGACACACATTGGAGAGATTTACTGATTCTGATTATCCTTTAGAGGATTATTAGAGAAGTTACAGCTGAATATTCAGCCTACCTTTCTAAGAGAGTATGAACCATCTTCTCAAACGCATCATCACAGCGCAGGATGGGACTGGCTACGCCCCACTGCAGGGAGCAGCTGTAGTTTCTCAGGCCAAAGTAGACCAACTCATTATGGGACTGGTCCCTCTGCTGGAGAGAAATGTTCATTACATTCTAAATATTTGAAGGATTGTTAAAAAAAAAAAAAATGGAAAAAAGGCTGGTAATATATTTTTGTCCAGCAAGGGGAGTGCCTGAGTCATGATACTAAATAAGTCCAAAGAAAAATTATGATTCCTCTAGTTTTTAGCAATCTGTAATCAATTAATGAACTAATAAAACAAAAACAAACAAACAGAATGTTACATTTTAAATTAGTAAATGATTAATTAACTTTATAACAGATAAAAAGAATAAAGTTAATGGTTTTAATGTAAAAGCATAGAAAATGACCACAAAATGACACAGGATTACAATATTGATTTCATTAATAACTGTGATAATAATGGTTTACAAGGTGAGGAATCTTTTAAAACCCTGTCAGGAGGAAAGTGAAGGCTTCTAAATTACGATGAATCCCTTTAGAAAATTTGCTTTAAAACATTTGGAAAATGAAAACAATCATTTGATCAATTTTCTATTTTTATTTATTTGATTAAATGTTAAAAAATATAAACAATTTGAGAAATCACCAGAGGAATGAATGAAATAAAGAAACAATTAACTAATAAAAACATATGAATGGTATTAAAATATAGTCTGATCAATTCAAAATTAAAAAAATGTATATATCAAATGCTAAAAAGGGTTAGTAATTCTTAAATAAATCATTAAACAACATGATTTCTAATACTTCCATATATGGCTACTTTTATATCTTTTAAGAGTTTCAGATGTTTTTTGATGTTGTTATGCATACAAAAATTTTAAACTCACCATGTTTTCACTCGACGGCCAGTGAATTTCATTGTGGATGCTGATGCGGGATTGATGAGTTTGCAGGGTGTAAGGGAAGCAGCTGACCTGAAGGACCAGGAGGTTCATGGCTTCCAAAACCTCCTGGCAGTTCACTACCCGGTCAGCCAGACCCTGCAGCTCCCCGTGGCAAACAGAGCCTGACAGGGCACTGGAGATAAAGGTAAGTCATGGAGAATTTAGATACCGTATTTTCTTTGATAACATATGAAAACAGGTTTAATCTGGGCCATGACCACACACAGCTTATATGTTCCTGTTAAAATTCTTGTTGCAAAAGAAGACAATCTAAATAAAGGTGTCCTGAAAAACAAAACGTAATCAAAGTACATGTTCCCGACAGCATGATGCAAAAACTGTGGTTGTAAATAACAATTTCCAGTGTTGAAATGAAAGGTTACGGGGCTGGCTGCTGAATTAACCATTTTCCAGTAGACATTTAATGACACACTCCGCAAAGCGGGTAAAAATAAAGTTGTTTGACCAGGGCTGAAAACCCTGCTCAAACCCTTCTTTACCATACATGTTCCTCCATCCTGTTTCAAGTCCTTCTCAAGCAATATTTTTTGTTATTTATAAGATAATAACATTATGTTTCTACAGCCAGAAACTGGACAGATCAATAATTTTATTACTTTTTAGGAAAAGTACCACTTCATTGAATAAATATTAAACTATCTGTTTCTGTCTCCTTGAATTCCAGTCGGCCTCAGCAGATGGCCACTCACACTGTGCCTGGTTCTGCTGGAGGTGTCTTCCTGTTAAAAGGGAGTTTTTCCTCTCCACCGTCGCTACATGCATGTTTGGTGTGAGGGATTGCTTTTGAGTCAATGAGTGGATGCAATCAGCTGGTCTTCTTAGATAAAAAACTTTGAACTTATCTGACTTTATTATCTGGTAGAATTGTAAAGTGCCTTGAGATGACATGTGTTGTAAATTGGCGCTATATAAATAATCTTAATAGAATTTAATATTAATAACAGAACATCAATAATGAACAAACAGGTTCTCCTAACCTCATTAGTTTTGTTTTGCCATAAAAAGTAGAAAAAAAGAAAAGCAAACTTATTCATTTACATTACATGCATGGACGACTCTTACTTTAGGTGTTTTGCCAGCCCTAACTCCCAATCCAATATGGCTGCTTTGCATCTAATGCATGGTAACAGCTGCAATAATAAACAGATTATTTTTCATTTTAGAGTTAAACTTTTCCCTTATATAAATTAACCATCATTTCCTGAATAGATTCATTTATTGCTTGAAAACATAACATGTGAAGACTTACATTGTTTTAGGTCATATTAAAAATTTTTTTTCTTTAAGTGAAGCTATGTGCTGCTTTTCTCTTTTCTAACTTGCTATAAGAACTTGGTTAAGCTGGGTGTGACCTGCGAGCTGCATCACACTTCATGTTTTTGCATCTTATATTTTTCTTACTCTTAACTTCACCACAGCTTTGACTGTTTCTAACTCTAAGGCTATTTGCTTCCTCTGGATATCACTGAAGGCAGTGCAGTTAGTGCATATTAAAATCACCCAGCCTAGGTTTAACAATTTTCAATGGAATGTCTTTGTTTTCAGTTGCTGCAGCTGTTGTTTGATTTCTCCAGGGTTTAAGACGGACAAGGTTGCATATCTAGTCATAACAGTCCGTTTTTCCCCACATGCTGCTTTTCGCCAGTCCACCAAAGTCAGAGCTGTTTATTTTTTTTTTAAGTAAGAGACTTTCAGAGTCTTCTTCTCACCTTGTCAGGTCGACGTGAGAGTTATCATGAATAAGGACGAATAGGGTGTAGGGGTTTTGCTTGACTTTCTTCATGAAGGCCTCCATCTTGGTGTGAACATCAGCGTCCAGACGCACCACGTACTTCTCTGATTTCTGGTGGGCTGTGTATGCATCTTCGTTTCCCAGATCCACAAGGACTCCTTAACCAAACATTTAGTGAAAACAAACATTTAGTGAAAATGAGACTCATATTTTTAATCTGTGATTTTCATCTGTAGTGTAGACTTTCACATCTTAACTACAGACATTTTCAGAGGCTTACATTACAAAAGATTCATTAAAGTTTTAGAGTTTCCATACATGAGCTAAGTTAAGTCACCTCAGATGTTTCTATAGTGGTCAGGTATTTTTAATAAAAAGAAAGAAAGAAAGAAAGAAAGAAAGAAAGAAAGAAAGAAAGAAAGAAAGAAAGAAAGAAAGAAAGAAAGAAAGAAAGAAAGAAAGAAAGAAAGAAAGAAAGAAAGAAAGAAAGAAAGAAAGAAAGAAAGAAAGAAAGAAAGAAAGAAGAAAGAAGAAGGAAGGAAGGAAGGAAGGAAGGAAGGAAGGAAGGAAGGAAGGAAGGAAGGAAGGAAGGAAGGAAGGAAGGAAGGAAGGAAGGAAGGAAGGAAGGAAGGAAGGAAGGAAGGAAGGAAGGAAGGAAGGAAGGAAGGAAGGAAGGAAGGAAGATGATTGTTTGAGGGTATGAAAGATAGAAGGAAGGATAGGAAAGAAAAAAGAGGGACATAAATCAGTCTGGAATTACAAACATACTATTTCTCCTCCCAAAATTCCTACTGAGATAGAAAATGCAACCTAATTTGACACTTCTCCCTACTTACTTTGAATGTGTATGATCTATGTTGTCATAGATCTGCAGCTCAAAAGAAGGAAAAAAACATGATCTCCTTAATACCGACACTCTCTTTTCAACACACCTGATTGTCTGATGCGTTGTGCCGTCTGGTGCACCAAAACATGAGATGGAGGAACCAGAACCAGAAAGTCCACTTTACAAAAGCGACCTAAGTCTAAGTTCTGGGTTCCTGAATCAGCGATGGAGCAAACTTGGGAGAGAAGACTTCGAGCCACCGTCAGCTGGGCCGGGTAGATCTGGAAGAGCCTGTTTAGGACCTCTGCTGCAGGAGAAAAAAAAGTATTACATCTGTCTGTCTTTCTTTCTGTCAGACTTTTAGTATAGGTCTTGAAGGCAGTTTATGACTTAAAGAAAATATAAAACACCTGTAGAAACCTAAATCTTCCAGATAAAGGTTGGACATAACTTATGTAAAAGAGACTCTTGTTAATTACACACATTTATTCAGGATTATAAAATATAATTATTGAATTTTGCACACCACAAACAGTAACAGTGGTGTAAATCATCAAAGATGTGAAGTGTTACATCTATAAGATGAATGTAATTTTGCTTTTTTGCACCGAATTAACACCTTGCACTGTTTTAGGCTCCGCCTCTAAGATTGGATGCTCCTTCCTGAGTCTCAGCCCAATCAAGATCAACTTCACACTATTTATTACACTATTTGTAGCATCTAATGGGCTTTTGTAGGGGAGAGCTGCATTTTGTTTAACCCCAGTTTTCTCATGTTTAGGTTCTGGTTAGGTAGGTTATTTTGTATGTTTGCATATTTTGGTTTTAGATCGAGTTATGAAAGTCCACTTTTCTTTTTCTTTTAGGGTTGTTTTGTTTGTTATTTGGCCTAAGCTCTCCCTAAAGCCTTTACCATAATTTACTTAAAAGAAATGGCAGAGTAAACCTTTTTAAATGCCTTTTTGACTCCTTCAATCCCCGTCTAAATCTACGTGGGTCCCTTATACCTCCTAGACCCAGCCAGGGGATGTAACAGAAGTTTAGGTTAAACCTTAAAATTCAGATACCAGAAATTGCTTAATACCCGTCAAAACGATGAAGGGGTGTTATTTGATGTGTAAAAATGTATTTTTATGTCAACTTAAAAAAAAAGGCATCCCTTTTAAAAAAAACTTGAAAATCTCTCAAAATTGGCTGCAATCTTTTATAAATTAGATAAAAGGAGGTTTTTCATTACTTGTGGAAGTGAACTAATTTACAAACAGGATTATTCTCACCTAAAATAAAAGCGGACATATCCCAAAGCAGACTATTCCAAAGGTAAATTCTACAGTTCTTATAAAAATGTATATGCCTCTAAGTTCAAATTTCACATATATATATAAAGCAATTCTTTTAAAAAACTTCACAGTGTCATAATTTTTATAGTTAACATAAAACTGATATCCATTTCTGCTTTTTATGTAATTTGCTTAATACATTTGAATGAAAATTTGACCACTAAAAACAATACAAAGGCCTGTTTTGTGATTACAAAAAATAACTCCTCTAAAAAAAAACAAAAATCACAATAACATCAATTTATTAATTTGTACCTAAGGATCTAATGTTTATAGATTTCTCTATTACTTGGATCAATCCCTCATAGAAATCCTACGGGATACTTTTTAAAACATTTTGGTACCAACACCAGTTGTATTCGCAACAAAGCTCAGAAACTAACCATTTGGAATACAGTTGAGTTTTTTTTTTTTTTTTGCACTCAGCCATACAGAAGAGTCCAACCTGTGTCTGGTGGTGGCGACATGCTGGCAGGCTCCTGGGAGTGGATGTTGTCAGTGACATCGCCCTGGAAGGGCAGGATGACCTGTCCTTTCCGTCTGCGCTGATATCGTATGAGCTGCTTGTCAAGATTGTCCCCTGGAAAAGAAACAGTCGCCATAGTCACACAGAGACATGGAGACAAGCACCAGCTTGGGCATTAATCTGATACACAGAACCCGGTGTCCTGGTTGAGCTCTGTGTTCTGCTGGGAAACATCCAGACTGTTTAATGCATTTTATAGAGACGTGCAGTATGCAGATTAGGCCTATTTACTTATGAATATATTTGGACAAATAAACAGTATATCCTTAAACAATAAAAGTGCTGCAGAAAACAGAAACCTACCAAGAGAGGTGGTTTTGAAATGAGATGCCAAGACGCTGACTTTTCCAGTTATGAGTTCGTAGCTGATCTCTTTCAGAAACTCGTTGGTTGTCAGCATGCCTTCAGCTAAGGCGCGTGCTTGGTACTTCCCTACATGGGACAGGTGTGCTCACATCAGCTTATAAACTGGGCGTGCAGTTTGATCATGATAAAGATGGAAAATAGTGCAGAAAACTCACCCAGAACAAGCACACAGAACTCGTTGCCGTTCATTTTCGAGGCACATATGATGATGACGTAGGTGGGCAGGCGCTGCTGATGCTGAGGACCCTCACAGAGAGAACGAAGGGACTCAGAGATGCCCTCCCCCAAAGAGTTGTGGGTGACGACCACCTGTACGCTGCCCCCGGAGACACTGGCTTCCAGTCGAGCAAGCCATGGAAGTTGGGATGGAGAGATAGTGGGACCCCCGGGACAGCATTGCATGGCCTTTAAAACTATATGCTCCAGCTCCTCCCTCAGAGGAATCTGGTTAGAAGCTGCAGGGGTTAAAAACAAGAAATATGCTTCTTCAGTTTCCTTTCATTCCTTTCCTTTACCGTTTTGCAGCTGAGTAAGTAAAAATATAAACATATAAAACAGAACTTTCCTATCATTAATTAATTTCAAAACATACAAGCACATATATATAATACAAATTTACTTAAACTGAATGGAATATTTTAAGCATTTTCTTTATTAATTTTGCCTGACGACTTACGATACCACGAAATTGAGGGAAAACGACTTATGAAACTAATTTTATAAGGAAATATCTTATTATCTTGACTCGACTTTTCTCCAGCAGAAATTCACTGACACCCTGCCCAAGGATAGTACATCACTTAAGGCGATTCATTTAATTTATTGTTTATTCAAATTAGAACTTTGCATATCAGCCAACATGTCAGCAGTGAGCATCGAAGTAAATATGCCAGAGTTAGCACAACAGCTCATTTTCTACTGTTGTCCTAAAGCAGGTAAGAACATCACCTACATAAAACATAACGTAAACATGAGGTTACAAAAAAGATAGGATAACCTAAGAAAGTAATCTACATGTGTGTGAACGTCTGGTTGGTTTTTAGCCAATGTATGTTCCACAGACGCTGACAGAGGGTGGTGATCGCTAAAGAAACCAGCTGTTCATAAAGTGTTTTTTTTCCCCATCCTACTGATGGAAAGTTCAGTAAAAGAAAACAATAGTGGTAGAAAACAAGAGGGATTCAGACCCAGTGCCAAATCTCTACACAGGGTAACTAGCTGCACTTTTTTCTGCTGGTTTGAAGAAAAAAAAAAGATCAAATCTTAAGACAGCAAATTCAGAAGGCCAGTATTTAAGCCAGCTGGACTAAATTTTATCATTAGATGTAAGCCATAGTCTTAGTAAAAAATAAAGACCTGAAACATATCCCTTTATATGTAATAAATCTATAAACCTTTTGTATTTAACTCATTGAATAATATATGTGGTCTATTCTAAAACTTACTGAGCTGACTTGATAAAAACAATATGTTGATGGTAGTCTCATTTGTTTTGCAAATGAATAAAGATTGGAACAGGTGCTTACCCAAACGTGCAAGGTACTGTAAAGTGAGCAGGATCATCATCTCCACACTGAGCATCTGACTGCTGTGGAGACCCAGAGTCTCCAGGTTTTCCTCTGTTACCTGGTTGCACTTATAAAGGCTGACCAGCAGGGGGCTCACCACTATATTGCCAACGTTCCCATAGAAATAGGGTAAAGTGCCATGCCCTAAAGAGAAATATCAAGATTAAAATTGGAGGCCACTTAAATAGGACAATAAATGAAAATGGATTAGGATGGCAAAAATCAAGAATAGCACATTTTATTCAGACATAATTTAAATTGCTTTGCTGAGCAGAGTAGATTGGTTACTGAACAGGTGAGTGAAAAGAAAACTATACCAATGAGAATGACGGGGCGAACTCCTGAAGAGTTGAGCAGGTTTTCAGGGACGATGACTGTTTCTCCAGCTGTGACAGGCTGGGGCTGAATGACACCAGCTACCAGGGGAGGAGGGGAGGGCACTGCTAATACAGAACCTGGAGGATCAATAAAAAAAAAAATACTCATATAAACAGAATACCATTGCTTATGTTAGATTTCATAGCTGGAGTTGCAGTGACTTTATATTTGACTGTTTTGGTTGTTATGATCATTAATAATAAGAAAATATGCAGACTTTTTCTCCCAGTATTGATCATGGCAAACCCTAACCCTACACCAATGATGGAGATAAAACCTTAGGAGTTAGTGAAAGTACATTTAGGCTGATGTTTGGAGTGAAAAAGATGTTAAAAAAAAAACTGATATTCATTTATGAATAGCAAAATTCTCCATAACATTTGACCAAATCCACAGAAAAACAAGGAGCTAAAAACATGTGCCTATGACTTATATCCAGATAGGAACAGTCCTCTGTCCCCTTTCCCTGTGTGGCTGTACAAGCTTATAATTTTGTATTACTTACAATGGGAATTTTCAATGAATAAAAGTACCCCCCCCCCCCCCCCCCCCCAAAAAAGAAACAAACCGAAAAAACAGTTTGATTATTCTTAATTTTCCGGTTTTGATGCTGATAATTATGAAGAGTGATCCCATTAATTCTCACAATACAGCTTTCCCAAAAAATGTAATCATCCAAGTTATTTTGGCACCGAGTTGTCCTGCTCTATCTCAGTGAGCACTCAGAATGAATCATCCTTAACAACCACAGGATCTAAGTGACGTCAGAGGTAGAATCATCTCCACACTAAAGGAAAGAAAATCTCTATTTTTCTAATATTAGAGAGCCACGGCACACAGGGTCACAGACATGTGGGCACTCAATGAAAATGGTTAGCAAGCAAACAAAAGTCATAGGCAGGGTAATAATAAACAGAGAACAACGTAACAAACCTGGAGAGCCAACTATTGGGCGGATGGCCGGCACAGGGACAGCCGTTGGTGGGACTGGGACCAGGGCACTGGGATGCCAGCTGCGATGGCGCTTCTTCGGGGGACCGGAGTTCATAGCTGAAGATACTGATCATCCAACAGAGACAGGAATCAGTGTTAGAAAAGGCAATGCAGATCAAAAGGGAAAAAATGTGAAGATAAAAGAAAGGGAGAAAATGGCCTACCAGGACTGTCTCCTAAATCAGGAGTGCGATAGCCCTGCGCCTGAGGAACCAAGGAGACTTGGGGTGAGCTCAGTAACGATGAGTGCACATCAACACCTAGGCCGTTCGTTGGTCCATTCACCCTAAGAGCTGTGGGAACTGCAGGCAACACACACACATGCAGACTTTTATATAGTTAATTAATCATATACGGTTCATATAAAGTATTCCACATTTAGTCACATTATATCAGCGAACTCTAACAGCTGTGGATGTCCAAATATGTAATGGCCACTTACTTTGGCAAAGTAGCCCGAGCTAATGCAGACTGAATCTAATTATTAGTAATCACTGATCAATCAGCAAGTAATGACACATATTCTTAAATAAAAAAATGAGGTATAGGCCGTTCGAACAAATGATTAAGCTTTAATTTAAACTCTGCTGGACATGCGTTTAGAGTCATTGTCAGAATGGAAAGTGCACATCTGCCTAAGTCTGAATGCTTTATTGTGCTTCACCTAAGTAGATATTCTTGCAGTTGGCCAGAATATCTGCTTTTAAATTGTTACTAGGTCGTCTACACTGCTCTACTATCTATAAATAAATCCAACAACTATTTCAGTGTCGTATAAAGACCAGATTTGTGGAAAGTAAAACTAAAGGCTGTCCTGTCAATAGATTCTCCCATATGACCAGCAATGTTACTTGTTAAATTACCGAATGTGAAAATGTGCTGGAGGTATGAAATCTTTTGGCTAGTACTGGGTTAATGTTGCAAGTACATCCTCAGACTTGATGTGTGACTGTTCATTGTAATTTTTTTACAGCTGCAGAAATAAATAAAAAAACATCCAATTTTCTGGAGGCTCTAGCTGATTTGATATTTGGACAAGAAACCCCACTATAGAGCTTAGTTTATAAGGGGAATGCTTCAAAATGTGAAAAGGGGGGGCGGAGATGATCATCCTAATCCCAAGCAGCAGACCCATGCCGGAGGGTCATGGTCTACGCTCCGTTACACCTTATTAGGCAAAGGTCTGTCACCATTTTACTGACACGGCTTCATGTCCTATGACTGTTCTCACAAGACACTACTTGTGCAAATATTACACTTAAAAGCATGCATGAATTAGCGTATCAGAACTGAATCGTATACAAATCTGCCGCTACAAAACTTGTAATCTTTAGAATTTAAATTTTACCGGATTTACTTTCAGATCACAGGATTCCTACATCCTTTACAATTCCCCGCATTTACTTACTTTGAAGGAATTTCAGGCACTTCTCAGTCATTAGGTCCTCACCCTGCCTCTTGGCTAGACCCCCCACCCCCCCAACAGCACCTGTTCCAGCTCTACATTTAGGTGAGACCAAACCTATAAACATATCCAGCTAAAATTCAACAACCCATTTCAGTCAAACATGCAAAAATAATAATCTGCAGTGAAAATGCACTGCAAAAAATGATCTATAAATAAGTAAGACATTTCTCAAATTAAGTGTACTTACCCTTAATTTAAGTGGGTGACATGATTTGCTAATGGAATGAGTATCTTTACTCTTAAAATTAGATAATCAGACAATGTGCACTTGAAATAAGACAATGCAATTGTTTTTTTTTTTTTTTGTTTTAAATGTAAATTGTCTTGTTCCATTGGCAAAGTGTCTAACTTACCTGCTCAATTCAAGAAACCATGCACTTATTATATGAAAAAATATTATTTAGCTTTAAAAGTTTTGCAGTGTGAGTACTGCACCTCCAAGTATTCAGATAAAGGGGTTTAATCATTTTGGCCTTTCTAGCAAAACTGTTTTCACATCAGTTATACAATAGTTTAAAACCTCTCCCCTTTGTTTGCATACTTACTTTATGCCCTGCTACCTATTCAAATATCAGAAACATTGTCTTTGTCCTTAAATAACTTTTAAATCTAAATATATGTTAATCAAATACTTAATATAAAATGTCCTTTACTATGTGATTTTCTACAAAGGAAGAGCAATAAATTAAAAATGAATCAGACCTAACAGTGGTGAGCTCGACGCTACAGCACCGATTATTGTGTGTAGCCTTTGCCTGTCAATATCACAACCTTGTAAAACGTCTAATGGGCAAGGGCTTCGGAAAATCATTACAGTGTTTCTTCCTCCGGTATTGATCGGTGTGCATCCACACACTCGTGTTTGTGTGTGCTGCTTGATGATCTTTGCCTCATGGTCAGCAACGACTCCTTACTGCTTCACCACATTAAGGGTTGTATCCAAGCAACGCCTCTGAATGCAAGGACAAGCTCATTCAAGTGAAGGTTCAGTCAAGGTTGATGCTTTGTGTCAATTTTCCCAAATGTCCAGCGAGTGCAGCTAAAGTTTGTTTTTTTGTTTCTTTTTCTCAGTTATTTATTTAAAAAACAAGATAATCTGCTAATGAAGTATAGGAAACTGAATTATTAGGAGAAAAGGCCTTTACCTATTGGCAGAGTCTTGTTCCCAGGAGTGGAGGCCAGAGGTTTGAGGAAACTACAGTCCCTTCCAAGATCTTGACTGCCAAAAAAGACGGAGGACGCTTGTGCCATCCGGGTGGGTGGAGAATCTACAGTGAAAACACAAAAAAGACCCAACAGTTTTGAGGAATCATTTCAACCAGCGTGTAAGGTCGATCTGTCATATTGTTTGTTTATGATTCATTTAGACAGCTGTAACCTTCCTCCATTCTTCCTATTGATCAGCCAGGTTTCATCAAAGTGTGAAATAATTACAAGTCTCATTGGTGAGATCAGATTAAAGTCCAACAACTAAAGCTGGTCAGCCATTAAACACAATGGCTCACACTGCAAAAAGATCTAGAAATAAGTAAAAATTTCTTAAATTGAGTGTATTCACTCTTAATTTGAGCAGGTAAATGGGATAGTTTGCCAATGGAATGAGTAATTTTACTCTTAAACTAAGATAATTAGATAATATGCACTTGAAATAAGACAATGCAATTGTGTTTTCTTATTTTAAGTGTAAATTGTCCTGTTCCATTGGCAAAATGTCTCTTTTACCTCCTCTATTCAAAAACAAATGCACTTATTTTAAGAAAAAATGACTTATCTAGATTCAGATTTTTTGCAGTGCAAAAAAATCATTTTGTAGCTTTATTTTTTTTTCGTTATCAAAACACATATTCCGTAATATTCAATAGATTAGTTGAGGCTTGTATATTGGAGTATAGGTGCCTTTTGAAAATATTTGAAAATAATAAAGATATGCATTTTTTTTGGTCTTTTACTAATAGAAAAAAGGATAAAAAATATCTAGAAACACAAAAACATTTCTTAATTTTTTTTTCCATACTTAGTAAGTGGTTGAAAATTCCTTAAAGAAATTTCAGTTATTTTTCAACAATTAAGTTCTTTTTTTATCTGCAAACTGCAACAGCTTCAAGCTTAATCAAAAAAATGTGTAATCCCTGACTGTGAGCGAGTTATCTTTTAAAAAGGCTTTTGTTTTTCAAACAAAGAGCTCACCTGAGAGAGAAAAGGGGGACGAGCTGGTTCCACCATTTTCTTTGCTGCTCAGGGACGACGATGAACTGGGTTTGGAGGTCGAGGCGCCGCTGGACAGCTGGCGGGTTTTACTATCTAAGAACGCAAGGAGAGATGCACATCATTAGACTAGTCTGAAAAGAAATATATACATTTCAGTACCCAAATCAAACAAAGAAAATATGTTTTCAGGTTTGAGAGATGGCTGTAACACAAGCCATGCTATTCTGATGAATAAATCCTGTATTCCTTTTCACCTTTCCAGCAAATGAGGGGTCCTTTGCACAGAGCACCATGGGAGTTCTTCACCAGGTAGTATTTTAAGTGCTTCTGCTTCTTGGGTTGGGTGGATAACTTCAGATTGATGTGATTTGAAAACTCAGTGAAGTATCTGAAACCCTTTTCCCCACAGCCCACACAGTTTCCTGAAAAACCTGGAAGAACAAGTCGCCCAGGTTAGCATCATTCTCCTAAACCTATTGCATGAAATTAAAGTGCTGATGTTTTGCCAGGGCTGAATTCTCATTTTACAAGGAGGACTAAAAATTCTTAATCTATCTGAGATCATAAGGGCAGACTGACCTAAAAGTGCATTTTTCCCGTTCTCGTCTGGCAAAAAGCGACGGTCCACAGCACACACTAGGATGTGCTCTGGGATGCTGGGAGACTTTGCGCCGACCAGCTCAAAGCCTGCTGGGACTTCGATGGGTTCTGCTGCTATGGTAACCAGACGGAGGTCCTTTCCAGCCTGGCAGAATCCTAAAGGGCAATTATGATTGTCAGACGATGAGGCTTAATGGAAACTATTCTGGTATAAATATGAATGTCTGGAGGAGAATGTTTTGGAAAAAGTTTTTCTTTTATAAAGTAAACCTGTTGAGATGATACCATCGAGTGTGCAGCAGCCATCAGGCGCAGGAGTTTGCAAGTAGGGAAGTGGGGGGCTGCTGCTGTCAGAGTCCTCCTCGTCCACCAGCTCATCCAGATCGTTGGAGGAGTGACCGTTCAGGAGGTCATGACCCACCTCACCATGGAGTGCCATGTCATCTTTTGACTTTACATCTGCTGGAAACATCGCAAGTAATTATAGTGATAAGAATGTCTCTGTACCTTATTTAGGATTTAAACCAGTCCAACTCTGTAGCAGAAGCTAAGGTTAGTCTGCATTTATACGAATGTTATTGAACATGTGTCCATTTTTAATTACAACTGTCTGACTTGAAATGTGATTATGTATTAGTGTCTCTTAGCTTTGTTCTCTCTATGATGTATTAGCTCAGACATTTTATAACTATCTCCTATCAAGGGCCCAAGTGTTTCCTGCAAAAAACCCTTTTAGATAGAGTTATCGCTGGGGCTCAGACTGTATCGCAGAGACGATTAAGATATATATAAATGGTTTGAGGGTCCTGCTTTTCAGTAGACAGATTAGGGGACTGTTGGGCTCAGTTTGTCTTTTGGAAAATGTTGGTTTCAAAGTAGGGCCATGGCAATGTAGAGAAGATGTAAGAGTTAGTTTTTGTCCAATCTTAAATGTCATTTTCGTGTTGAATATGAAGTCTAGTAGAGGTAGACTGAGTGGAGAAAGAGAAAGTAGAGTGTTGGATGCAGTCTTGGTTGGGGTTTTGGGGTGGGAGGCCCAGAGCCATCTGTTGGGGTAACGGGAGGGTCTTCTTTCTATCCTGTGGGATTTGGCGGGGAGATGACCTGTGATAGGGTTGAAGTCATCTTTTTGGCTGGCTGTATCTTGGCTGGAACTAGCTGCACTGCGCTAATCATTTGTTTACTTTCTTGATGTGTTCTGTTCAAGGGCAGAGCTGCTGTTGCAGACTGACATGGAAAAACAGATTACCGGTAGATGTGAAAAGTTTTGCTCAAGACCTGTTTAGAGAGAAACCACATTTCTTGAAAAGATTCCCTTAAAAGTATTGAACTCCTTGAACTTTTGCAACCACAAATGCAAAGTATGACTGTGTGTCAAAGACCACCTTGAATAAGTGCATAACAGTGATGTACAAGGTAAAGAATGTACTATTTTTAACATTTATTATTAATAAAAGACTGATTCTGCTGTGGAGATCCAAAGCTTACATGCAATCAGCTGTTGGCAAAACAAGTAAGATGCTTCCAACAACTACGGTTCAAGGAAAGCCACCCGAAGTATTTTGTAAAGTCTGCAACATGTTACAAAGGAACACATGCAGAGAAGAAGCTGGTATAGTCAGGTTGACCTAAATAGATTTGTTTAGCCAAAAGTTTGGTCTAAGACGGAAAGTTTTGTTGACAGAATGCTTTTCATAGCTAAATGGATCAAGTTAGGTAAGGGATATATAGAAGCGTAAATGGGGCTATAGTCCAGACGTAAAACCTAATAAAAATTAGTGGCGAGACAAGATAATGGACATTCTCAGACAATTCAGGCATTTTGACTGAATCTAAGCTGTTGTGCATAACAGAATAGGTGACATTCTCAGTTACTAGATAGACTGGTAGAGACATACACCAGTGTTGACTTGGCAAGGCTGAATATAAATCCAGGTCAAATGTTTCATTAAATTTGTTAAATTTGAGAACTTTGCATCTTCTACAGTGCGCTTTGTGCCGATTTATCACATTCAACTACATTTTATACAACAGTATCGTCAGTTTTAATGTAATAAAAAAAAAAATCATCAGACCTTTTTTTTTTTTTAAATCCATCTTGTGTGATTCCTACCTTCCATGTTTACTGGATATGGTTCCGGCTCCAAGTAGAGCTGTGTAAAGATGGGCTGTGGATCTCCGCTGCTGGAGCGCAGAGACGCTTCGATCGAGTTGTGGAGAGCCTCCTCAAAACGAGCAGACTTCAGCTGCCCCGCGTACGAATTCCCCATTATCTGTGGGAGCACAGAGAAAAAGGGGCAGCACTGCGATCAACGTGCAACGATGTTTATCTCTCTTCATCGATTTTGCACCTTACATAATAATCAAAAGCTAAACATTTGGCAAAGTTAACTACAAACCCCCTCCTTACACCTTATTAGCTGAAAATTATGGGTTGATTATAACCTACGATTGAAAATGAGGACATTTTTGTAAAAACATCTGAATTATTATTTAATATTTAGTGGTTTCTACACTTCAATAATAAAGGTGAAGATAGAGCAAAGTTTCATGAACTTCAAATTGTTTTTGTTTATTTTTATATTTTGTTATATCGGGCAGTAAAACATAAATATTGGGGGGAATTGTTATTTCATGGAAACTATTTATATTTCACTTATTTTGAACTAGATATGTTGGTAGTTTCAACTTTTTCCTTGGTAGAACATAAAAAAAGTTTTATATTAAAGGAAATGTTTGTTTCACTATGGTTCAGCCTTGCTCACATTAAGATAATCCCCATTAGAACTTCAGTGGCTTTTTTCAACCATTTCTGGCTTCTCTCAGCCTTCTGTTCACTCGGGTCACTGTGCCTTCTCTGCCTCTTCCGCTGCACCTCCCCACACCCCCAGTGTCCACAGTGTCCACTCGGGGACATCTGCCGAGGTCGGAGCTGCGTGTGTCTGTGATTGGCTGGCTCTCTGATGCCAGCTGGCAGCTGGACAGAGGATAGAGCATGTGGTTCAATAATGATTAAAAAAAACTAGCAAAAGGAGGGACAAAGGGGGGAGTGAGCACAGCACACCACAGGTAACTAAACCTGGATAACAGCAATGCGATGGTGGAGTTTTCCTCTTCTCCAATATTTTTAGTTTGTCATAACACTTCAGAGCTGTTCGCAACCCAGGCAGTCAAACTGTGAGAGATGAGAAGCAGAGGAGGAACATAAAAAGTGGGGGTTGGCCTCTTTCCTGACACACAAGTTTGACCTGAAATGCCTCTTTCTTGTTTGTCCTTGGACTACATTCGACTGGTGCAGACCAGTGTTTTGGTAAACACTACAGGAGCCAAAAGGAGGAGGTCCAACTTGAATACTTTGGCCACATTTAAGAAAAAGAAAAAAAAAACTCCTCATTATAGTCTGACAGAGATCCTTCAGAGGTTTTAGATAAAATGACCTAAACTTGACCAGAGCGTTCAATTTAAAAATCTGTTAAAGTTAGCTGTTCTTTTTCCCTCTTTTTCTTCACAAAATTTGTTTCACAAATTAAAAGCTTCTTATTGCATAATGTAAAAAAGAATCTATTATCTTTCATTATTTTGACATTAAAGAGTTATAACGAGGCTTTAAATTCTCATGCAACAAAAGCCATGAGTACAAACACAGCTTCATGGAGCATAACCACAATAAATTTAAAGAAAACTGTACCTCATAATGTAATAGCTTTAATCTAAAGTCAGAATGAAACAACTACTTCCAATGATAAAAAAAATAGGTTCTGTAGGTTTAGATGGATTAGCTCCCTTTTATATTAATCTTTTATTCTGTGAACATGTACTCTCTACACTGCAGTCTCAAAGGGGGCCAAAAACAGGAAAGAGAGGTTCTAATCTGAGAGGATTCTTATTCCACTAGATTCAATTTAATTTGATTTGGGTTATTTCACTTCAATTCTATTAATTTCAAAGCATATATATAGCAACAACACATATTATCTCAAGGCACTTTACAGTCAGTTTAATCAATTCATACTGATGGGTTAAAGTTTTTTATCTAAAGAAACCTGGGTGACTGCAAGTGGATCGCTGACTTTGCAGAATCTACACCTCCCCGAATGAGCATGTAGTGATAGTAGACAGTTGCTTGCATATTGTCACTGACTTTGCAGCAATCCCTCATATTGATCCTACATGTAATGACAGCGAACAGCAAAACTCCTTTTAACAGGAAGTAACCTCCAGCAGAACCGGGCTTAGTGTGATCAGCCTTCTGTCAGGGCTGAACTGGAGAACCTAATACATTTAAAAAAAACATTTTAATAGCATGTTAAGGGTTATTGAAAAAACTAAATGCATTTTGACACTATACATGACGATGTTGGCATAAACCTCAGCTTTTATCCTCGTCATGTCTTGGACACTGTTTTAGTTGTGAGCCCACTTTGTTTCTGCAAACTTAACTTCATGGTCTGAAAGCGCACAGGAGCTGTAATCATCAAAGATAGATTATATTCAATGCTCCCAGAGAATAGCTAAAAATAAAATAAAATATTAGACTTTTCTGCCTTCCTGCTTTCTGTAGAGCACTATGAGCTGGTATTAGCACTTCACTTGTGCTATACTCAGAGATGGGAAGTAACGAAGTACAAATACTTCGTTACTGTACTCAAGTAGATTTTTCTGATATTTTTACTTTACTTTACTACTTATTTTTATGGCAACTTTTTACTTCTACTCCTTACATTTTTACACAAATATCTGTACTTTCTACTCCTTACATTTTAAAAAATTTGCTCGTTACTTTAGTTTTGAATCATTTCAATGGAGTTACCGTTATTATTTTTCACGTCATCAATACCAAATTCAATCTAATTGGATGGGAATCTACGTTGCATTTGACGCACCACTACAAGATGAATCGACAGATTCGGCGGTATTCATTGGTGGCAAATCATTGCAGCTTGGTGGCGGTGGCGTTAGCATAGTAGCATGGACGACGAGATGATTGAAAATGAACACAACGGAGATCTAGTCCTATTGGCAGACATCCATTTAAAATGTAGGCAACGGCATGAAAAAAGTGGTTTCTACTTTTACTTTTATACTTTAAGTAAATTTACAAGCCTGTACTTTGTTACTTTTACTTGAGTAAAGAAGTTTAATCAGTACTTCCACTTTTACCAGAGTATTTTTTAACACAAGTATCTGTACTTTTACTCAAGTACAGAAAGTGAGTACTTTTGCCATCTCTGGCTATACTAATACCTTTAAAAGAGTGATGAATAACACACTCTTGTTTTCTCAGCATGACTTTGCTTTTTGAATTCAAAGGTGTTACTTTTTCTTTCTTTTAGAAATGGTGTCAAACAAAAGCTGAAGACCTGCATTAAAAAAAACTTAAATAATGTTGTGCCATACAAAGAATGAGGGAGGGATCAGCTACATTTTAATGCATTGTAAAATAAGTCAAATGGTTTGAAAACTCTACAGCAAAGCAGAAGGAAAGGGAAATTAGTAGCCTATTTATAGGTCACTGATGTTTCAAAACATCTGCAAAGACGGACTAAAAAGGCTTTGAAACTATTCTATATCATAGAAGCTTTTAGCTGTCTTTGAACTGAAACAATTAATGACACTTGCCTGTAACGTAAAATCAGCTCAATTTTGCTTATGTATCCTGTGTTTTTCATAATGCAACTTCAATTAAAATCAGTCAGTTTTGAGTATTTACATTTTCCAGGTGATGGTTAAACAGACCCCCTTCTGTTTTGTCAATAGTAAGCAGGGTGGGAATTTGGTTTAAATTGGCTTTTTTCTCCTTCCAGGCTTCATTTTTGCCCACGCCTGGACAGGTTTCAGTCCTCCTGTTTACTTAACAACCTTCCTGGGGAGGAGTTTGACCATCCAAGACAAAAGACAAGATTAGAAATGCCTGACTGCGCTGTCATCCAGATAAGCAACTTAATAGAATAAAGCTACAGTAATTCTTGCCTAAGTGATGGAGGAAGTTTACTGAAGAGAAACCAAGTTTCCTGTTCATATTATTCCTTCTTTTTCTTTTTTTCTGCCTGGCTGAACATGAAGCCCCTACAGACCTATTTGTCTTAACCTGGTGTCACCTGGAGGTGAGCTAAGAGGCTGACCTTTTAACACCTGCGTGCCCAAAAAGAAAGAGTGACCATGACAAGGGGTCGCAGAGCGGATGTTTTTCCTCGTGTAACTCAAAGGTTGATGAGGTCGAGTGGCTGCAGCTAACTTGATGATACATCAAACCAACAGGAAGAAACAGGATGGTGCTGTTCCTTGGTAAATAATCATGACCAACAAATGAAAGTTGAAATTAGTGAGCGGTGGCCGGGGAGAAGCTCAGTTAGAACCATCCTAAAGCCCAAGTTAACAATGAATTAGCGGGATCTTAACTCAAAAGATTTCTGGAGGCCACAGTGGAGCAAATAGGAAAGCATAGTTGCCCTGTATTGGGTAAAAGCATCAAGCTTTAATAACGCTTTAGAAAATTACAGGTTAAAAGCCACTGAAATCCACTTTCCTTACAGGTCCTGGAATTAAAGTCTGTTTTAAGCCCTTCTTTTACCTTTGGAGATAAAGATGCAACCAATATTATTTGTATTTGCTAAACAAAAGTAATAATGCTACAAATAAGCAAATAAGACTACTTTACCTTTAAAGCTTACATGAGATTGTGGCAGCTTTATAAACCTTAATTAAAACTTTTGAGTTAACTAGAGACATATTTCTGAATGCATTTTAGCATCTGCCTGTAGACGCTGCTTTCTAGTGTAAATAATACATTGATGTGTGCATTATCACAATCATAAACATTTTAAAATGTGACAACTTACAATGTCGGACTGTTCCCACACGTGAAGGGACTCGTCTACCTCGGTTACATGCTGAATCTCTAACATTCAGTGGAAACCTTCAGCAACAGATGGTGCTGTTCCTTGGTAAAACACCTGGAGGATCAGAAACAGATTTTCAATTAGCTCGGAGTTTGATAACACAAGGTTTCATTTCCTCAGAGGAAAACTATCTGGTCCAGTGGATAGTTCTGACATTTCAAATAAAGAACTTATTAACAGGGACTTATCTTTAAAAAACTGAGATATTATCAGTTCTTTGGGTATGAGATCCTTTGAAACACCACAGTACTTTCCACCAAAGTTGAGTGTCTCTGGTGAAGCATGATCCGACTGTTTTCAGCATGTTTGACACGCTGCAGACTCTCAATTGAAATGAAGAAGGTTTTGTGTTAAAGGAGTTGGCTAATAAAGCCATCAGTCTGGCACTAATTCATTCTTTCTAAAAAAGCATCAAGGAGCTCAAACTTTCTAAGCTGAATGTCTAATACATTTTAAGAGGTACTCGGAAAAGGTTATTAAACACACAATCATAGAAAGATTATAAAAATGCTACTACTTCCATCATATTCTCTGTTTAGTTTAAAGTGGTTTTAATGATATACCAAACAGTTGAGCTAATGAGAGTGCTCTCCCGCTGAGTAGTGTTTCAAGTCATGAAGCACTACACACTCATTTATAAATCTATTTTTTATATATATCTGTAAACCAGAGGTAGGCAAAGTACTCATAAACGTTAATTAGGCATAGCACTACTTTACGTTTTTATTTAGTATAAGTAGAAATGAATCAACCAGGAAATTACTAAACTAAAAGTAAAAAGTTACTAGGTAAAATGGCTGCTCAAGTACGAAGTAGGCGTAATGTTAGCTCATAACATCTTATTCAATGTTTAAAATTATGTAACCAGACATTTATATGCGAATTCCTGGTATTTCAAAGTGAATAAAAAATACAAATGAATGTAATGATTTCAAAGAAAATTTGAGGAGAAACATTTTACCGATTTAATTTTCTTTATAAGCCTTTAAAACCAAACTTTACAACATAAAGCTGAGAAGGATAACAAACTTCTAGTAACAATATCTACTGTTTGTTGCTCCAGTAACTTATGGTCGGTACAGTAACCAGAAAATCTACCCAACTAAAGATAGTGATAATCTCACAAGACTACGGTAAGTAAAACATAAAGTAATACTACTCCCAAAACATACTCTAGTAACTGTAACTGAATAATGTAACTAGTTACTACCCACCTGTGATGTCCCTCATCAGTACTTTTAAGTGATCTAGAGCATCTAAAAGATGCATGTAATGTATGAAACCAATGCATCTTTACTCAAGGTATTAATACCTTGAGTATTAATACCCTTCTGTGATACTACCCTGGTTCTCTAAAAAAACAGCTCGTGATTTATAAAAATGTAACTCTAATTATGAAAAAAACTTAAATATATTGTGAGCTGCTAAATAAATCATTTTGTGTCTTGATAACTCCCATTTAGAAATACATTTATGTTAGAGAAAAACATTTATTTTTCAGTTCTCTAACTTTACATACATAAACAAATATATTTGTTACAAAACATTTTTAACACCAATAAAACTCACATTTTTTTAGCTTTAGTTGTAAAGGACCATATTTCCTATCAATTTTCGCACCATGTTAAGCTATGGCATGGTCTGTTATGTTTGGAGTTGGAGGACATGGAAGAGAAGAGGATATGTTCAATCATTCCACAGACAAGATTTCTAAATGCAGTGAAAGTATCACTTTGACTAACAGCCATTAACAATACTACAGGTGCATTCATGTTAACTCGGAAATGAGAGTTACCTAATCTCAGTTTTCAAGTTTATTACTTGTGGACTCCTGTATTTCCTAATGTTTGTGTATGACCACTTCAGCCACTGTTATAATCACTGCAATGACAAAAAAAATCCTCTTTGTGAAGGTAATTAGCACTGAAACATATTGTCTCATAAATAATGTTAGCATCTGCTTAACGACTTCCTGTTATTGCCAAACTAGCTCTAGTTCAGGTTTTTAATCCTGGACTCTTCAAAAGTTCTGCTCCTAATTTAGATTATATGTTGGGCTGCAACTAATGATTATTTTGCTGATTATTTAGGCTATTGATCATATTTTCAATTGATCGATTAGTAATCAGATAGCTGAAGGTGCTTTATAAAGGTTTTACCGAATTTGAACCAGTTGAAGCTAAAATTATGCTAGTTAGTTACTTTTGAATAGAACATATTTGGAGACAAAGAAGGGTTTTATACTTGAAGCAAAATATATTTATGTAATATAACATTTCTTACATTTTTTGGGTTATTGACTGCTAAAAATGGATGGTTCTTTCAGCAATTGGCACTTTGTGGGGTCTATACACTCCACTTAATGATTCACCAATAACAAAATAAATGGAACATTATTTGAAACAAACAAAAACAATGTTTAATTTAGATTTAATTATATAAAACTATTTGGGGTTTGCAATACTTTTTTCTATTTTTGAAAACAAGTTAAAGGATATGTTAGGTGTTGCTAGGTGATCAAGACCACATTCGGTTGAGAAGTTCAAAAAAAGCTTGACTAAGGCCTTAGAGCACTAGTCAAACCGGCACTGGAATATTCTACACTGTTTACAAACCCAAACATATTTTACTTAACTTTATTTGTAAAACAAACAAGAAATATTTTTGTACTTCCCCCAAAAATAGCTAAATCTTGAGAAGCTAATTTCTTGTATCATCTTGTATTGTGTTACTATAACCCTACAAACTACAACTCTTACCCCAAAGAAAATACTGCTAAAAATTTCAAGTAAATTATACTTTCCTGTAGCTTTATCCATTTCAAAAAATCAATTTATAACAAAAAATGCAGCTAAATTAGCTTTTTAGTTTTTTTGAGTGTTCCTGTAATTTAGAAGGCCAAAGTAAATAATGCTCCATGCAGTTTGTGTTGCAGGTCATAGCAGTCCAAAGAGCATGCTAACTGATTAAAATGAATGGAGGCACTTATGACCACTCAAACATTAAGTGCAGCCTGCACCATGAAACATGTATGCTCTACTACAAGGCTTTAAAAATGTGTTACATGATACTACCATGGCCTTGGGGTCTATTTTCATTAAACAGAGTCGGCTGTTTTAGCATGCCGCAGCGGTTCCTACACACAGTAACTCCTTGCTCAATGGATTAAACAACTACCGGTACTGTGACCCTTAGACCAGGTATTGTCTGGCTGCTCTGGTTTTGATATACTCTAAAACAACAAAAGCAAAGTTCTCTTCAAAAACACTGATTGTTCCAATCTAGTCAACCGTCACCTCTGACCAAGGCGCAGTTCTTGATAGAGGGCAGCTGGATCTGGGGGTCCAAGTCCTTCAAACAGCAAAGGTCCACAAACTAGAACAACTTACATTAACTGACCACACCGGAGTTTGTTTTGTGAATGATTAGCCAGCTTGAAAGAGTTAAAAACGTCAATGTGTCAGGAGGAAGCGTGCAAGGTTTTACCTTTGAGACTGACTAAAGAAAAAAAAAAAAGCTCTATGGAAAAACCATATTAGCTTGTAAAGCAAAATGATTTTTCCGCTGTTTAGTGCCTCCACTAATTTGCCTCTATGAAAACATTTACACTGAGCTAATGACCCAGAATCAAGGAAATATTTAGATTTTTATCTGGCCATGTAGGCTTGACAACATAGTAAAAGACGAAACCAGAAAACTAGATGAAAACACAACCCCAGGGTGATTTCAGGGGTTCCTGTTTTTCCAGTGATGAGACGGGAGGGAATGTTGACGTGTTGGTGTAATTTCCCACAAGAGGAACTTAGTTCAAATCTGAAAAGGACTCACTTTAATGACAGCAAATAATGTGCTGCATTCAGACATTTATATATATTAATTAAACACAGTTCAGCTGATTTATTTATATTTAATATAAAAAGCGGAAATCCTGTAAGGAAGCCCAGATGAGATAAAACACAAAATAAAATGCACTGATGTAATTGGGTTGTCAAGACAACAAAAACTTACAAAACATAAAAAAACAGTTACAGCTACTAAAAAAAGCATTTTTAAATAGGAATATAAATGATATCTAAAATCTTAAAATGCAAATATTTAGCAATTTATCATGTAAGTATTTTTAAAATGTATGTTTGGTGCAAGAATAACCATAACTTGCGTCTTAATTGGATTACATCTAATCCAATAAAATTGTGGGGCATAAAAAAATAAGTAAAAAACAAAACAAACATAACTATAATTGGGGATCTTACTTTTTACCCTGCCTTCTGTTTCTCTCCAGTCGTTCTTTTGTTTCCCTCTAAAGGACATAATTGCATTACAATGTTTACAATAGAGGCAGGATTAATCTTACCTCCCCACCTTAAATTCAAATTGGGCAGAGCCTTCAAACTACAGTCAAATTAAAGCAAATAGCTAATGCCTCTTTACATTTTATATCCAGATAAGCCTAAAAAAATGCAGAGTATTCGCATACAATTTGACTCGACACCCAGCAATTGTTTCATGTTTGCTAAGTAGATAATCAGATAAAGAAATAAAAAAATAAAATTACAAATCTTTTAAATTTTTTCATTTCTTCTTAGAAAAATCCACATACTATCTTACAGAAACTCATTAAAAAACAAACTAATTCACACTGCATTTCTGTATTTTCACATACAAGTTAAATATCTATAGGTCTTATGCGGGAAAGAACTTAGTCCCTTTTTAACATTAGAACAGACACAGCCCATCAGACATGAGAGAAAAGGGGGATGGGGTTGAGAAATGGGAGAAAAAGGACAAACATCCCTTCACGTTGTCTAAATGAGGTGCTAAAAGCCCATATCATTAATGCTGAATTAGGGTCACATGTGGCACACAGCCAAATTAAACAGCTTCTTCTGTACCTTCCATGACTCCTCAACTCCTTGATGAGCCCTTAAATCCAACTTCGGTGTACAAAATCCACAAATGTTCACACAGCTCTTCAAACAAAACCCATCATATACAGTAAATCCTTTTTTTGTGAAGTTTTTATCCAAGCAGGAAAGGTATGGAGTCTCAGTCCTGTCCTGTAGTGAGCTTCGTCATGATTCCATGCAGAAAGGATTGGGAATCCCTCAGTGGAGCAGAAGCCCTCCTTCTCTCTCTGCCTCTCTATCTCACTCACATGCAAACAAACATGAATCGACACAAACCCCTCCCCCTAGTCCCCTGCACACTCCTCTGTCCTGTGCCATTTGCCAAGCAGGAGGGAATCCACTGGGGGCTCATTCATCTCGGCCCTGTGGGCCCCCCCACAGTGACAGATGCTATTGGGGGCCAGAAAAGCTAAGATGGGTGTGAGTGTGTGTGTGTGGGGGGGACAAAGACATGGTCTCACATCTGCCTGTTGAACCACGGCTCTGCCACGCGTGACCCCCTGTGCATCAAGACATCCTCCACGGACATTCTGGAAGTTTTCATTTTCAAGAAGTCAGGGGTAAAACGCCGCAAGTCGGGGGTGGCAGTAATTCTTTCAATCTGCTCTCACGCTCAAGCTCAGCTCAGCTCAAGCTGCCACACCCAACATTTTATTGGGGGACCAATTTAGCTGTAGGGAGGGGTAGGTGGGGGGGATCTATCTCCACCAAAGTAGGGACAGGAATGTCAGGTCAGCTTGAGCATTTTGTTTCTGCAGTCTTACCCAGGGTTGACCCCGCACACCAGGCTTTTTAAACTCCTGTTATAAATACCAGAGGCTCATCCGGTCAAAATAAATAAACAGAAATGTGCTACAAATCTACAGCTGCTGGCAGATGCTGGGGATTATATATCATTAGTGATCGTTGATAGCACCTTATCACGTTGTTGCAAACAGGAGAGGGAAGCAAGTCACTGGGTGGAAAGTTTTCACCACACATCTTAATGTAAATGCATCAAAAATAGGGATTTCCCAGTGTAAGATTCTTACCAGTTGATCTGGAATATAATTACAATATCTTTATAAATTCTCTACATAGAAATCTCAAACATATACTTGTCTATACTTAAAGTGATATATTGCAGATTTGATAGTTATACAATTTAGAATTATGTATGAAATTCAGATATTTCTATTTGGTACATAGATCTGAGTAAAGCTCTTAAAATTGATATTTCTTTACATTTCTTCCTTTTGTCCACATTTATTTCTACAGCTAATATAATAGATATATTTCAGCTTAGTACTGTGATACAGAGCTTATATCGCTTGTTTACATAAAATATAGATTGACATACAGAAGCTGACATAGGCACTGGCAGAATTAATGAAAACAAACCAAGAGCTTTCCACAACGGCAACTCAAGTTAACAGTGGAGTTAAGCTATATTTAAAAAAAGCTAAAAATGGCCTCAAAACAGTATTTATACTCATCTAAAGATGCCTTTTGAGGCACAAAAATTCTAATTCCTGGAGGTGGAGGTTGCATGTCACCTTGGAATAGGAAATTTTACAGCATAAGAACAATAGATAAGCAATGACGGCAGGGATTTTATGAGTATCCAAGGTCAGACACTGAGAAAATGACTAGTTTTTGCAAGTGGTTAAAATAGAGCTTGATTGAGAAGCAATTGTGCAAAAATCAAACTAACCAGGAAGCCAAGTTAGCCTATCATTGCTAAAAAAAAAAAAAAAAAAAAAAAAAAGTATATTTCTTTTCTGTTACAGATTTTTAAAATGTTGTACCAAGATCCAACATCCTCAAGTCTGAAAATTTGTGTTGCATCATTTTCAAGAGAAATCTGAAATTTTTACAGCATTCAATTGGTTGGTTGATTTTAAAAAGTCACCTCAGTGGAAAAACTGGTAATATATCTAATTCAAAAAAATTAAAGACACCTTCAGAAATAAAGAAACAGTTTAAAAATAACCTAATAAAATAATTTTTGTCTGTCGAAGGTCTGGTTTATTTGTAGGTCTAGATTGGGTTCTGTGGTTCTTCTTTTTAACAGTATCATTTAATAAGTAATGCTTGAAGGTATATATTTTTGTAAACCAACCAGTATGATATGCTGGCTTTTCTTCAAACTCAATAAGGTCAGAAAATGTTGGCAAGAATTTGTCAGTCAAACATAAAGTCTTTGCAAACTCCAGCTCTCTGTTGGCAATGCTTTTAACTTGAAAGGTTTTGCCGCAAATTGATTGCATACATTTTTTTTAAGCAGAGATAAACATCATTTCGAATTAAAAAAGCCTTTTTAAGCGATGAAATTCAAGCCATTTTTTGTGTCTAGATAAAAAAAAAAAGTCTTGACTATAGGTAGACCAACTGTCAAACAATGTTCAATATTTAAGTTGAAATTACATTAGCATTGTGAAATTTCACAATTTCACATAAAGCTCAGGATTTTCTTCTCTCTGTGAGGGATCTTCCAGTTCATTACCACACACTTGGTCAAGAGTTGTTTTAACCAAGTTGTGCAGAGCTCTTCTCACCTTCTCTCCAATGGTTATATGGTGGCACTTTCAGTGTCAGGGCTGCTATAAACAACAACATCAGCCAATCGTGGCCTTCATTAGCTCAGAGCTTTCATGCGCTCATTTTCTCAAACCTACCAGATTTGCCTAAACACCAGGGTTTAGTTTCACCCAATTGTTCCTATTCATTACCATATTAGACCAGATATTGAATCTTCTAAGACTACTCCAGGTGTGTTTGAGGATTTATTAATCTGTTTTAAGACAGATGAAATCATTACATGGGTCATTTTGATAACAGCAAGTTCAAGCAGGGGAAAAGAACCATCAGCATCATTTATCTCCTAGCCCCTGACTTTGACGTGGCCTGTCTTAAGCATCCTATTGAAAACGGAGATAATGAGTAAACCCAGCATTTTCTCTGTCCACAAAGACTCTGTGCCAAAAGAAACAAAAGAGTGTAGATTGAAAACTTTCCCGCCCCTAAGCTCATCCTTCACCACAGAATTGAGCACCAAAGGGGACAAAGGGGAAGTGGCTCTGCCAGTGCCACCAGGAAAGACGAGTCACGTCATCAAAAGCGGTGGTTGTGGGCGGGGGGGGAGGGGGGTGGGGGGTGGGGGGGGGCTTCAGGCTTTGACAAGCTGTAAGAGAGGTGAGGTATGAACAATGTTCTTCTAGCTCTAGTTCTTTTTTTTTTAGGATGTGTGGCCACAAAAATTAATTAAACATTTGGGTGTAAAGAAATGTAGTGACATGAGAAACTGCAGTATTTCTTATAAAAGCCCAATCCAGTTGCTGTCAGCATGCTGTTTCAGCTGGTCACGAAATTCTAAGCCAATATAAAGAGTTTTGGATGAGAAGCTATTATCATATGCGTTGAGAAAGCTTTGCAATTTGCTGCAGCCACTCCTCTACATATAGAAAGTGGCAACAGTACATATACTGGGCAAGCAGGAGGTGACTGTAGGAAGGAATTGGCATTAGGAACACCTTGAAATGAGAATTGAGAACTCTAAGATACATCCAGTGCATTAGGTAATCCTAACCCTAACACTGACATCTCACAAATATATTTAGCTAATCCCAAAATAAACAGGTAGAATAGTTTGGTATAGGTTGGTTGAAATGTGTTGCTCTGCAAAATGATCTAGAAATAAGTAAACATTTCTTAAATTAAGTGTATTTACGATTATATGAGTAGGTAAATAAGATGATTTGCCAATGGAATTAATATTTTTACTCTTAAAAGGGGATAATTAGATCATATGCACTTGAAATAAGACAAAGCAATTGTTTATTCTTATTTTAAATGTAAATGGTCTTGTTCCAGTGGCAAAGTGTCTCACTTACCTCCCCAATTAAAGAAAAACTGCACTCATATATACAAAAAAGACTTATTTAGATTTCAATTTTTTGCAGTGGTCTTTGGTTTCTTATTGACCTGGTCTTCAATGAAACGTTTCTAAACTGACCGTGTGCCGGAATTTACACTCTGTGGTGATTTTGGTCTTTATTTCTGCTCACAATGTAGGGAGATAATATGATGTTTATAATGGAGAGTCTATGAGAAGAAGGTCATGAAAAGCTATTTAGGTTTGCCATAGGGTCGTAAGGTTGAATGTTGTAAATGGATGTTTTGTACAAGGATCAAAACCAGAAAAATCAATTTAGGAAATGATTTGATGAATCTATCTTTATAATTCTTAAGAAAAAGCTTACAACATACATATAATTGAATGTCATGGTTTAATATGCAGATTAAATGATTTATTTAGATTTATTAAACAGATTGAAAATAGGGGAAAATAGGAATAAATTTGTAGAAACTGTTAAGGTGAGAAAATGACTCAGTCACCCTGCAGCTCAACAGTAAAAAAAACTCCAACAAAAAACATAACAAAACAGCCATCTTGTGAAAATTCCCGTGGCAGAATCTGCTTCTCCATCAGAGCACGCTGGGCTTTATGTAACGCCCGCCGGTGTGAGGACTCACGCTTTCGTTTACTATCCGTGTGGCAGCTTTAATTTCCTTATAAAAGCCCCCCCCCCAAAAAACCTTCCAAGACCTCCTCCTCCTTGTGCTCCTCAGGACTACCTGCTGGGCCCTGAAGTGCAAATAGGTGCTAGTGAGGATAGCAGATGAGCTAAGGTCACTCAAGGCTTTCCAGTGAGCCAAACAAACAAAGACAAACATTCCAGATGAATGCCATTGCTGAAGTCGGCAGCAACACAGAGAAAGAGAAAGACAGTGCAGGGCTCACTGAAGATAATGGCTTCAGGGTATATGTGTGTCTGTGTGGGCACGTGCTTGCCTGTGCACGTCTGTGCACGTGAGTTTTGTGTGCGTGTGTGTGTGTGTGTGTTCGGGGGGTTATCTCTGCAACTATAAAGTGGGGTGAAACAGGGTTTAAAGCCTGATGTGACCAGAGGCAACGGGGGTAGGATCTTGGGCCTGAAGTGGTGGACAAAAGGAGCATTTGAGCAGATGAAGAAGTCATCATCATTAAGCCACTGGAGGTTTACTGTCTAGTTATAAAAGTCATTTTAAAATTTGGGGAAAGAAGGTCGGTGTGTGTGTGTGTGTGTGTGTGTGTGTGTGTGTGTGTGTGTGTGTGTGTGTGTGTGTGTGTGTGTGTGTGAAAGGGCAAAGGATTTAGGGAAGCCTCAGAGAACGACCTGGTAACTCGCTGAGGAACGTATAGGAGCTAATTCATTAGTGGA